AGAAATTTCTCCTTTATGCTCCCCAGAAAGCCAGGGGCAGTTTTCTTCTCATCCCACCCCCATTACCCCTTAGTTAAAAAGTTGTAATTTTTCACCTTAACAGTGACTAACAACCATAAGAATTTAACTTTTGTTACTATGTCCTCATTACTGTCTTACTGAAATTTCTTTATAAATGGATGTTTTGGTCTCTCTTAAGACCATGTCCTCTGGCCCCAGTGGACCTGCCTATTAGAGCGTGGCAGTCTGTCCATCTCTCAGCTCAAAGGCCAGGCGGCCTGGAGGTGTCAGGACAGCACCTTCAGTGCTTCTCTTGGCAGGGGACAGGACCAACTTGGCTTTGTTCCTCTGTTGGCAGATTTGGAAATTCCTTTGATTGGGCCATGAGGGACACTTAAGGGTGACTCTCTACCCCTGACCACACATCACACAGAGTTGATGGGGGTCATGACTAAACAGCCTTACATGATGTTGCTTTAGTAAGGGTTTCACTGAGTGATTTAGAGGCTAACCTCTCAGGCAGGAGGACTGCTGCCAATGCGGTAACCAGGTACCAGCTGGTCTCTGTGTTTAAAACTCTCCCAACGTGGTTCTCTGTACTAGTTGACTTCTCATGAGAGGGCCATGAAGAGCACAGCTGTGCTTCTGCAGCCTCAGGCTTGGTGGAGCAGGCTGCTCAGAGGAAGGGGCTGGTGGTGTTTTGCTAGGGGACAGCGCCTTCCCTTTGCTGAGACAAAGTCCTGCTTCCTGCCAGCCTTCTTCCCCTGAAGGTTTGCTTGCCGGATCTGGTGTCTAACAATGTGAGACTCTCTCATTCAATTCCTGTTTGTCTCACTGAAGTCCCGTCTCCTTCTGCCCTCGCGCAGGGACTCTGCCATCTCCAGTAACAAGACCCCACACAACAGCTCCATCAACCACATCGAGACGGTGCTGCAGCAGCTGGACGAGGCTCAGTCCCAGATGGAGGAGCTCTTCCAGGAGCGCAAGATCAAGCTGGAACTCTTCCTGCAGCTGCGTATATTCGAGAGGGATGCCATCGATGTGAGTGGTCAGCCCCCTGTCCCGGAGCCCTGCCCCTGGTTCCTGTCATATGTCCTCTCCATTCCCCGAGCCTCTGCCGAGCAGGGAGGCCAGGTGGTCAGCCCTGCACTCTGGGGTGGCAGACTGCATTGGGCTGATGGGAGACGAGGAGGACAGTATGAGCAGCGGCATCACAGTGTCCTTCTCAAGTGGAGGGAGGGAGAACCACTGCCTCCCCAGGGGCAGTCAGCCCTGCTTGAACAGTGGAGGACTGTACCTCACTCCACTCTACTAGAAAGAGAGCGGCTTTGAAGGCCTCCCTCTCCTTCTCTTCCTCCCTCTGCCCACCCCTCACATTTCCCTCTATTTTCCGTTTTCTCTCTAAATAAAGGGACTGACTGTAGCCTGTGCATTTTAAGGAATAGAAATCGTCCCCCATGAAAGTGTCCTCTGGTTTTCTAGAATTTCCCCCCCAAAATGGATTTTTATCTCTGATATATGCAGAGAAGAAAGAAACACATGCTTCTTTTATCTGTATTCAGCGAAGAGAGGGCAGTTCAGTGCTGCGCAGAGGGGGGCTTTCATGCTTGATGTAGTAGAGTGGAGTGAGTCCCAGTGAACGAGACTGAATAATCTGAGACAGTGTCAGAAGGGCCGAAGCTTCGTAGCCAGTGTGAAGCCTGTGTGCTACCTGCACAGCTGGTGGTCAGAATCGCCTCACTAGACCACACAGGTCTAGCCTGTGACTGCAGGGCTCTGACAGTGAGTGCATCTCACTGCCTCCTCTCAGTTAGCGCTCTCATTCATACTGCTTGTGGGGTACTCGTCTGGCTGGGCCCTGAAGTGCCACAGAGGCTTGGGGGTTGGTGAGAAGGAGGCAGGAAAGGCCCACACAGACTTCCTTTTGTTCTTTCAGCTACAGGAAGAGGTCTGTGTGCAGCCCTCTGTGGCCTCCCCATTCACCTCACCTTGCACGCCCTCTCTGAAGGTGACACAGTGTCCACCCCCCCTCCCCCAGGTGCCTTCTGGTGGCTGCCTGTTTAAACTGCAGCACTAGTTTCCATAAAAGCAGCCTCATCATGGTCAGTTAATAACAAGAACTGTGTCAAAACCCTGCTAATCACTGTGGCTGTCAGCCTGCTCCGGTACTTTCCAAGGCTTGGCCTTTAGGTTCTTATTAAGACACACAGAGAAGGCATGCTAGAGTCTCCCCAGTTGGAATCCGCTGGCCTTGGCTGCCTGGGGCTCAGGGAGCAGCAAACAGAACAGAACTGTTTTCTTCTGGCTTTTAGTGACTTGCTGTTGAATATTTTCAGTTAGAAGATAGATAGAGCAGCCAGGAGCATTGATTGAAGATTCTCTTCTAGAACCCCTGTGATAGTTGAAAATACTTCTTACTTTCTTTGTATTGATGCTGCTTGGGTACAATTTAACCTTCATCACCTCATCAGGAAACACAAACATGTGCTTTCCCTGGGTGGAAACTACAGAACGAGTGTCCTATGTCAAGCTCTTATGCCAGGCAGAACAGTCACTTATGTGTAGATTGCATGCGCTTCAGTCTGTATGTAAGAAAATGGCCTCACTGAGTCTTTAGGAAAGTGAAAAGATAATCAGATAGAGTCTACTTGTCAAAAGTCAATGTGTGTCATCACTGCTAGTCTGCTTTGTCATGACACCTAATGCTCCCATCCCTGGGGTCTGAAGATACATATATGAGAGGCAATTCCCATAGAGTAGACGCTAAGGTGGAAGTGACTGTCGTTTTCCCATCACCTGAAAGCGAGTCCCTGGGCTGTGGATGTGGCTCATTGCTAGAGTACCTGCACGGATATACAGGGCTCTAGGCTTGATCCCAGGAACCTCAAAAATACAATCTCCTATTTTATTCCATGGCTTATATCGGATTCATTGATGTTATTAATTTCATGAAGAAGTTCAATTTAACAATGTAAACACACATGAGCATGCAAATCCCACTAATAAAAGAATGAGTTGGGAAGGTCTATGCTGTAAGAGTTTTGAAAACTCCCTCTACCTAGATTATGTAAGCATTGTCACATGCTCAGATTTTCATCCCAGCTTAGTTCATGTTCCTGTGCGTAAATAAGCAAGGAAGGACCCATGGGAAATGCTAGTCCATTGAAGTAGCCAGTATATATATTCTTTTTCAAGGAGTTCTTCCTTGTTTCTGCATTTTGTGACTTAAAAGCCATGTTGTGCAATCTTTCGGGCCTATACAAAAGCCGAGAGAGTAGCGCAATGAGGCCTGCGTATCCCAGTCCCCCAAATCAGCATGACCTTGTTTCTTTGCTTGCTTCCCTCATTGAATGTTGTGCCAGAGTATTTGAGAGAGACTCGAATGTCCATCCTTCTAGTCCTAAAGATCTCTACATCTTAAGGCCATTTCCTCCCACACACACAGCACCGGGCACCCCACTCTTCCAACAGGCCTGTTATCTCCTAGTGCACAGCATGTGTTCAGGTTTGCACAGACGCCTCCATTAGGAGACAGATGGGTCAGTTCCTGAGATTGGTGGCTAGCCTCTTAGTTTAGGTTCAGTTCTCGCTCCATCCTCCCACTTTGTGCATACCATAACTTCTTGACCGTCACTCATCAAAGAAGCCAGGTTCCCACATTATACATGCTCTCATTTGACTTTCAAGGTTAACCCCTCCCCCCTTTTTTTTTCTCTGCTACTTCTGTAAACACAGAACTCAGAAGGAAGACCTGCATTGATCAGATTCTGGTCTTGTGCAGGAATGACCCAGACGTGGTTCCTTGTGGCATCACTCTCCAGCAGTTATGACCTGCTGTCCGTCATCTGTAGGGCAGCCGAGATGTCATTCATTGAAGTGGTGGCATCCTGATGGCTGGTTGTTTAATTTCTTCTTGGCCTTTGCCAAGATGGCTCACCAGGCCTTAGTGATGGTTGCTTGAGACAACTATTTTGCCAGAACTTAAAGCAAATAATCTTCTATTCTTTTTCTCCATTTTCCAGGTAGATGTGTTTATTCGTGTTTCACCTTGAAGCACTGAGATAGTTGCCTTTCTCCTTTCAGGGCTGCTGATACGGTTAGTGGTAGGACACCTGCCCACTATAAACCAAGCCCTCTGTCCTTTCCCAATAGTAACAAGTGTCTGAGGAGCATAGGAGCCTTTTCAACCAACTCTGTGTCCATTTATTTCTTTAAAACTTTTAAACTGGTTTTATTGAAGCCTGGTCTGTATACCACAAAACCAAACCCATGTGGTTTCCGTATCCTCTTGAGACCGTTGGCTCCAACACAGTGAGAAGTGGCAGCATGTTTTAAGTCTTGATTTGCATAGATGCTCTCCTCCCTCAGATCATCTCAGACCTCGAGTCTTGGAATGATGAGCTTTCCCAGCAAATGAATGACTTTGACACAGAGGATCTGACAATCGCTGAGCAGCGCTTGCAGCACCACGCAGACAAAGCCCTGACCATGAATAACTTGACGTTCGACGTCATCCACCAAGGACAGGATCTTCTGCAGTATGTCAATGAAGTCCAAGCCTCTGGTAAGAAAAGTCCTCCATCTTGCGCCAGTTGGGGGTTCCTCGCATTACCATGGGACTGGGATGGATGACTAAATTCTGTGGCTTCTGTGACTGAGCCATTACCTGTCAAGACTTTATTTCACACACTACAGTCACATTTTAGCTTCATGCTTAGGAAACTCAGCCTTAAAACTTTTTCGAGAATTGCTTCAAGTAATAAGAACTTGGACTTTGCAAAGTGGTCTGTTGCATTTGTGAGTGAAATGTTAAAGCCCAAGGAAGTGTTTTCACATTTCTTTATTTTTAGTTTCTCTGTCCAGCAGATGTCACTGTAGGCCCCAGCATGTAACTGTACTATCAGGGGCTTACACAGCAATATCCTTCATGCATTACTCGCTTTGTTCATGGTACAGGTGATGCACACCTTTAATTCCAGCACTCAGGAGGCAGAGGCAGGCGGATCTCTGTGAGTTAGAGGCCAGCCTGGTCTCCAGAGCGAGTGCCAGGATAGGTTCCAAAGCTACACAGAGAAACCCTGTCTCGAACCCCCCCCTCCAAAAAAAAAAAATAAACTTCCTGAAGAGTGTATTGCTCACTCATTTCTACCAGCTGCTGGGTCCCTGAGAAGGAGGTGCATCCTCTTACATCCTAGTGTGCTGGATATGCATATAAATGCATCACTGCTGGCCTGGGTCTCTGAAGCTGCTGGCTAGTGCAGGGGGAAAAGGTA